TATCTAATTATATAAATTATATAATTAAGAACACAGATATTTCTTCTCTATCCTACCTTATATCAGCCGTGTAACCCTGTGTACAAACCAGGTCAGTTTATATCAGTAGGATAAGTAATGATATTCAGGACAATAGCTCGTGCGCTTGAGTTTGAACCCTCAGTGTGGGCATTTCAGGTTTTTTCTTAACATTATTTTTATTAAGTTATTTTTATTTTGATGTACCTTCATCCTGCTTACACCTTTTCAGTTCTGTGTCTTATTATCAGCTTGTCTAACATCAGCAGAGGTAATGAAGTATTTTAAACTGCACTAACTTGTATGAAATGTGCTATGGAATAAAATGTGATTACTTGATAATCAAATAAAATATTTATTATGTTTGTACCATATTCAACATATTGATTATATGTTATTGATTTAAAGCTTACATCAGTTTCAAATGTTTCCCTTGCATCTTCAACCACATCATCCAGAGCTTCCAGCTCATTTTCAGCATCATCTGGATCAATGTGGACTGGGATCAGAACCAGATTCTTCACAACTAGAAGCACAAAGAGACGTTATAAACATACAATTTACTGATTTACTTTTGATGAGATGGCACCAGTGACTTTCGTAAGGTGACTGTATTGGGTGGCACAGACTGAGTCTGTTTGCCCCGGTGCCCCTTGTCTATAATACTGTAAGTCTTACAGTGAAAAATCTGTTGCATATCTATTCAAGTATTTTCCTGAAGTACAGCTTTAATATTCTTGCACCTTATTTCTATGCTTTTTACTTTCTTCTTTATTTTAGATTCCAAAATACTGCACACCAAAACAATTGTTACTTTGTATATTTTGAAATATAAATCTACTAATAAATGATATATTAAGATATGCTTCTGTTCACCTGGATGTAACATTTTCCACTGAAAATGTTACAGAAACTTTTAGAGATATTCTACCTGGATGATTGAGCATCAAGGCATCTATTGGCCGCTTTATGATAGTTAAAGCTACAAACAGTGTTGGGAAGGTT